CTGTACCAAAAAAAACAGTGTCTTACACTGACAGATGACAATATGTTTGGATCATGTACAGCGTGTTTTAACATACGTGGCATGGTCAAATTCAGCTCCTTGACAAACGTGCCACCCAACCTGAGTCTGGAATCCAGGGCCCCATCACTGAGCTGTGTGTGCCCCAGCCCTTTCTGTGTTTTGCTCAGAGACAGAGTCTCAAACTGGCTAAGTGGCCAGGCTGGGCTGGAACTTGCCATCCTCCTGCCTCAGCCTCCCAGAGTGATAGGACTGTAGGCCTGTGCAGCCATTGTGCCCAACTCAAAAGATGTTTAAGAAGATTTTAACATAAACCTTGTAAACTACTGTTGACAGCAGCTGGGGCTGGGGCTAGAGCTCAGTGTGAAGGCCCTGGGTTCAATCTCCAGCACCACAAGAGAAAGAAAAGTTTGGGGGCTGGGAGAGCCCTCAGTGGTGAGTGTGTCTGGTGCTGAGGCCCTGGGTTCACCTCAGCACTGCAGATAGCAGCAGTGACAACAGCGTGGTAACTGAAAGGCAGACACAGCTGACACCTCTGTTGATAGAGGGAAGACACACGGTGGCTCCTCTGCAGTGGAGTATTACTCATCCACGAAAAGGGACCAGGTTCCGGCACAGCTACAAGGTGAGTGAACCTGGAAACCACGACCCTGAGTGACAGCAGCCAGGCGCACCTGGCCACACAGTGTGTGATCCCACCAGGGGCTGGGAGGACGCAGGCGGGACAGCTCGCAGGACGGGTTTGCGGACAGAAGGGTTCTGGAGCTGAACCTGGTGCCACCTCTGTGGATACACAGACAGCCCTTCTGGCTCCATGCGCTTTCTCTGCCCAGGGCCTGGGGGAGCGAGGGCCGGGTCTGGAGTGTGGCCAGGACGCGGACCTGAGCCAGGTGTCTTGCGACGTCCAAACCTCTCCTTCCCAAGGAGTTGGGGGTGGGAGTCCTCAGCGGGAGGGAAACAGAGGCAGGGGGCCTGGAAGCTGCCTGGGGCTCAGGCCGGGCCGCCAGGACCCACCATGGGGAAAGGGAAGACAGTGGCTCCAGTACAGCCGCCACGAGGGCCACCAGACACCAGGAGGGGGCACGAGCCGGCTAAACCCCTGCAGCCAGGAGGCACCTGACGTAGGGTCGGGTCCCCTCCAGCCTGCATGTCCCAGGGTGGCTCCCAACCCCGGCCAGGGCTACCCAGGCGCCTGCCCGTCTGCATGGTCCCAGGGGGCCCAGCTCCCCTGTGTTTGCAGACAGAAGTCGGGGCTCCCCGTGGGGACACAGGGTCACCACGGGTCACAGTGCTGGGGACAGGAGATGCACCATGGCTGGCCCTCAGGTCTGGGCTGTTGGACCCAGGGGGGCCTGAGCTGCCCATGCCTAGGGAACAGGTCTGACTCACAGCACGCGGGAAGCTGGCAATACCGCCAATTTTGCTGGGCCTGGCTGTGTACTCCGAGAGACTCAGATACTCGGGAGGCTGACGCAGGAGGATTGTCCTGAGTTCCAGGCCAGCCTGGCCGACATGGTGAGACCCTGTCTCAAAACACAAAGAAGAAAAGAAACTGAGACCCAGAAAGAGAAGAGAGGAGGCTGAGGCGGGAGGCTCTCCCGCCTGGCTGGGCCACGACAGATCCCAGCCAGGTACGGCTGAAATCACAGCTCGCCCTGCTCAGTGGCTTCCTGTCCCTCGGCAGTGTGTGGCTTTCTTCACGGGAGCAGACAGTGATTTACACGGAGGCGCCCGGGGTGTCCCCATCTGCAGCCTGGCCGCGGGCAGCCCTGACCACAGCTTCCCCAGCTGGGCCTTTGCCGGCACCTGCGAGCGAGCGAGGCCGACCCTCGGCTCCTTATATACCCGGGTTATTTTTACCCGGCCCCGCAGGAAG